TATTATAATTAATTTACTTTTATTATTAATATTATTATAATTATTATTACTAAAGGACGAAATTAAAGTATTAATAGGAAGGGTGTGGCAACTTAGTGAAGTTGGCAAGTTGTCGCACCTCCAAGCAGCAGTACTAGAGTTTGAATCCCACCGGCGACGAAAATTCGAATTATAGAAAATGCATTTGGAAGACTATATCCTATTTGGTTGTAGAACCTGTAATGGTGGTCGTACCAGCTTGTACTGTGAGGTAGTGGAACATGTAGTGTGATGTATGAGTTACACGAAACTCAAGTGAAACTACCAGATAAATCCAGTGAATTTACAGGATATGGAAGCCTGCTTGGCAAGACCCGAGTGGAGAGATAGCACAGATCTTCGACGGTTACTATGTAAAAGATGATTAACCGGATACTGGAAAACTGGACAAGACTGAGGTGTTTGGCAAAAGCACTATACCAACCAGGCCAACAGAGAAAAACGGAGAAAGGGTCTGCCCTTCCGGGCTGTAGGATTGGGAGTTTGGGTTTCCGGAAGTATGGAAGGGAGTCCGTAAAGTAGGTACCGGTGTTTGGGTGAACTCTATAAGGGCTGTAGTAGGTAACTGTAGCAGCTTCGGCTCGCAAGTACTTGTTCTCGGACTTGGTGTAAGTTACTGAAAAGGCCTAGTCTGGAAATGTATGGGACATAGAAAGATTAGGGGGGTATATTCTACACCCTCCCTAGGGTAACCTGGTAAGTATAAGAACCCTACTGGGTTATTTATAGAATTAGGCACAAGTAGTGTAGCACATGTTGATCTGGATGGTCTTTAAATGTAGCAGCACGAGGTTATGGGCCGGCGTAATTATAGGTAGTAGTAATGTACTATATAAATTCCTAATAAAAATTCGCCTGTTCACGACATTGCGAGAAAAAAAAAAAAAAAAAAAAAAAAAAAAGTATTAATAGAAGTGGTAAGCTATCTGACCTAAAGCCTTATCTAACTAAACAATGGGCTAGCCAATTGCGGGACATGAGGCAAAAGCTGATTCTACCATTACAAAAAAATTATCAGGATATCAGCACCATTCTGGCACAATTGACAAAATTTTAAAACAGCATCATAAAACGCAGCATCAAACAGCAATAATAAATGCTGATCCAAAATTAAAGGTCTACAATCGTGCCAGAATAGGGAAAAATAGTAAGGTAAATAAGGTAAGCATAATAAAATTTGTTATGTAAATTATTTTTTAAATCAATTCTAGAGTTACTTGACTAACAAATTATTTACCTGATAAATTAGTAAGAGATTATTGATATATTGAGTAAATGATTTGTTCTTACCCACAAATCATTTACCTAATATATCAGTAATCTCTTACCAATTTATCAGGTAAATGATTTGTAAGTGAAATATAATAATTTAAATTACTGTATTATAGAAGAGGAAAAGGAGACGAAAAGCATTAT